GGCGGCAGGACATGCGACAGCTGGCGCTGCGCCTGGCCTCCCTTTTCCCGGCGCTCTTCAGCCGCGAGAACTACGGGCGCCTGCAGCTCGTCACCAGCTCCAAGCACCGCTGCGTGGAGAGCGGCGCCGCCTTCCTGAAGGGGCTGTGGCAGCACTACCACCCGGGGGTGCCGCCGCCCGAAGTTGCAGGTGACCGCCGGGGCCGCCGGGCCACCCCCTGCCTCGCTCCNGCCCCAAATCCTCCCCCAGACCCCGGACTTCCCCAGTCCGAGCCTCTCGCTTCCCTCTCGTCCCTGTCTCTCGAACCCCCGTCCCTTAGTGTGGTCTGGACTTGGCAGTCTCCCTTCTCATGCATACATTTATTTGTTCACCAGGTATGAGTATGGTGCCTTCAGCGTGCAGGGCTTTGTAGTAGACGTTGGGGATTCAATAGCAAAAGGGGCAGACAAGGGCTGTTTTTGATCATCCACTCCCAAACCGAATTGCCCCGAGCTACACAGCCTCCCTTTCCTCCCTCCCTGACTGCTGCTTCGACGGTGGGGCACACTTTAAATACAATACAATAATAATCTAGGTCTTTCTTCCTCACGCTTTGCTTCCCATACTATTTGGATTTTTTTTTTTTTTTTTTAATTTACCATTTTTTCAAATGTTGATTCTAGACCTACCCCCTGTTTTAGGTACTCTCAAATTTACTGCTCTGCTTTTTTCTGTTTTGTTTTTATATGTTCTGTAGCTGCGGTCCATGGCAACGCGCAGTGGTGTACTAATTTATTCCAACACTTATTCTTTTGCAGAATTTGAGATATCGTGTATGGGGCCCTTTAATTTAAAGGTGGGGTAGCTGAGCCCAAGAATATGCCTTGTGGACCAGAACCAGGTTCAGAATCCCAGGTCCTCTGTTTCCGAGGAATGGTGCTTTTTCCCCCTCAGAAAATGTTTAATAGACATAGTTAATACTAATAGCAAACACTTAATGCCTGCTATGTGCCAGACATGCTTTACATTTATTTCACTAAATTCTTACAACAGCTCTCTGAGGTTGATAGTATTTTCCCCTATCTAACAGAAGAGGAAATTGAGAAACAAACACTAAGTAATTTGTCTGATTTCATATAGCTAAGTATGGACCCAGGAAATCTGATTTAGAGCTTGTCTCTTAACCATTACACTATACAGCTTCTTTTTGTCTTTAACTTAAGGGTAAGAATAAAAAACACTTTGGTGCCAGAGAGATGATCGAGCGTTAATACTTTCTTGATCAGTTTTAAGGTCAGAGTTGAAGTGAGACATCATTTACTTTCAATGCCCAAGTGAAAAATGAAGTAGACTAGTTTCTCATTTTTCCACTAGCATCCTTTCTTAAGCAGTTCAACTATCTGCGGGGCTTCTTCCATGGATTGTGTGTCATGTTATTGCTCTGTGGGTAATTCAGTTGGCTGACTTGAAATTAGTCACTTGTTGAATTGTGCTTTTGAGTTATAGCTGGGTTTTTCCTATTAATATGAGTGGAAATTCCCCACAAATCTGTTAAATTAACTGAATGATGAAACTGGAATATACTTTAGTACAGCGCAGTATATACAAGGTGGGGCAAGAGTAGGTTTACAGTTGTTCGCATGAAAATAATACAATAGTTAATAAATAATACAAGAATAAACTCTTTTGTGTACTCACAACTGTAAACCTCTTTTGCCCCGCCTTATATAGTGTATACCAAAAAGGGACCATTGGACCTCCTAGGTGGCATTGTGGGGATTGGCATTGGCCTTGAAGTACAAAGCCAGTGGTCAGAATAGTTAAAAATAAGCCCACCCCACACCATATTCAGTCTCAGATGGAACACCTTTGCCTAGCTTCTTCGCTATTATCTAGAGACAATGTTTTGCCTGTTGTGTACATCTGGGCTTTTGAGGGAGAACACAATTAGATTTCATATTCTTACAGAAACAACAATGCCTTTGTTTCTGTTTAAAGAGCAGCAGTAATTATATAATAGCAAGGATGAAGTATCCAGACCCGTTTGGGAAATTGTATTTTGAGGCCACAAAAAGATGACAGAGATCACTTATTTTCTTAGTTAAAATGCTTTCTTAAGAACTATAATCCAGTTTGCAATTAAAGTGGGCAGAATTATTCATTTCAGGATCTCCTGAAATGGATACATACATATGTGTGTGTGTGTGTGTGTGTGTGTGTGTGTATAATTTCCCCCCCCCACATGCACATCTAAAGCAAAACAGTATAACTAGATTTAATTTTCTCATTTTATATATGGAAATAGTATACTTGGTGTTCTTTTCATGATAAGTTATTGGAGAAATGATGATTGAAATTTATGTGTTTTGAATATGACTCTGAAAAAACTTAAAAGGTACCCCAGTGGTTGAAGCATGATTATGAATGCTTTCCTAATACATATTTGTTGCCAAATTGGGGAAATAATACAACTTATTAAATTCTAAATGGTAAGTTCTCTGGGAGCTTCAGTTCAAAAACAAACCAAATCAGAAACACTTAGCACAGTGAAAAATGAGAGCATTAATGTATTTTGTGCTGTTGTTAGTTTTTGCTCCAGAGTCTTTTGTAAAGTAAACTGAGTTGAGAAAGTTAATTGAGAAAATAAAGTACTCTATTTAGACTTTTTCTTAGAGCAGAAAAACAGATTCTATTTGTTGAATTATTTCTAACCTTGTAATGAGAAATTTTGCTAAATTTTAGTTTGTTTTTCAAGTTTTCTGTGCCTGACAGAAACAGTACTTAACACATTTTTGTATGTTTTATGACTTTTGTGGCTAATTATTTTTGCTTTCTTTAAGAAAGCATTCATTTCAATTATCTTTGTTTTATTGTGTAGTATTGCTATAACACATTTTATTTTATCTTTGATATTCTCTGCCTCTTTAATCTTTTCTAGTATGTACTCTCATGAACAACTATTACAAATGGGGAATAGTTTTGCCCTGTGTCTTAAGTAATGTGTGCCTATTTCAAACATGATTAAACAGGTTTTTAGTGTTCCTTTTCACATTTGAAACAAAATTTTTAATAATTTGAAATTGTCACTTATGTCTTTTCAGACATGGAGTTTGGACTTCCAAGAATTAATGATAAACTAATGAGGTTCTTTGATCATTGTGACAAGTTTTTAACTGAAGTGGAAAGGAATGATACGGCTCTTTATCATGTAGAAGCCTTCAAAACTGGACCAGAAATGCAGAACATTTTAAAAAAAGTTGCAGCTACTTTGCAAGTGCCAGTCAACAATTTAAATGCAGGTAATGTGCCTGTTATCTTTCATTTGAATTCTGAAATAGTTTAAATGGTTTTGAACTCTGAAAATGAAAAAAATATGGAAGCATAAAATTATTCCTTTTAAAGGCTCACAGTTGATTTTACAGAAAGAAAATAATATGTTCTAGGTCAAGAAAATTGTACACCTTATGCTTTCTACTTTTAGATTCAAATTCTTTGAGTTTTATGTAAATCGGTGTATAAGATTCTTGCTCTATTCTGGAACTTTTTTGAGGGCAGAGGTATATAAAGCTTCAAATCTCAGCATTATGTATAAAACAAAAATTATCTTTTCTGTGTTATCTTCTCATAAAGTGACACAAATGGAGAATCGCAAATTTTGCTTTGGAAGCAGTTCAGAAGTACATGTTAATGTTTTGAAAGGGATACATTTTAGAAAGTGAAAGGCAAAGTAGTGTGATTTTTTTTTTTTTTGGTTTTTTTTTTTTTTTTGAGGCTTTAAACTTAGATATCCTGGAAAATGAGCAGTCATGTCTGTCATAAGGTATTGCAGTGGAGATGGGTTGACTGCAATTTATCATGCAACTTAGGACACTTTTGAGGGTGAAAGCGACATTATTAATAATTATGCTGGGAAAGCAGGTGGAAAACCAAGGCATATGGTCACCTAGAAATGGGAAGTTAAGAAAAATAATAAGCCCAGATGGGCATGGCTCAGCGGTTGAGCGTTGACCTAGGATCCAGGTGATCAGGGTTCGATTCCCGGTCAGGGCACATGCCCAGGTTGTGGGCTGCAGCAGATCAATGACTCTCTCATCATTGATGTTTCTATCTCTCTCTCCTTCTCCTTTCCTCTCTCTGAAGTCAATAAAGATATATTTAAATTAAAAAAAATAATAATAAGATTTTTTTGTTTTCTGGGAATTTATAACGCATAGAGCAAGTGTTGACAAATATGCATGCAAAGATTGTGTATTTCATTATATTGTGAATAAATTTCCAAAGAATAGAAATAGGAGATGTTGAGGGGGAAATGTAGACTGGAATCTGTCAGTCATGGAGCCTGAAAGCTTTAAATCGGGTGGGAAACCTTTTCTCTGCCAAGGGCCATTTGGATATTTATCATTCGCAGGCCATACAAAATTATCAACTTAAAAATTGGCAATGAAAAAAAGCTCCTAGACTTAACTGAATTTCAAGTCCTGCATGCAGTTGCCTTGGCAGTGCCAGACCAAATGATTTCTAAGGCGGTATACAGATGTTCTCCACCCCTGTTTTAAAGGATCAAAAAAGTGAAAATGCCTAGACTAGACTAGCATTTAAAATTGAATTTTTTCGCTTTCCCCAAACTGGTTGTACATTGGAGTCACCTTGCCAAGCTTTAAAAATTATTTTATTAGGAAATAACTCAAGCATATAAATAAAAATAAAGGCTAATATAATGAATATTGGTATACCCACAGCTTATTTTTATCAAATTTTAACATTGTGTTTCAGTTAGTTGCTTTAAATATATTGAGATCGTTTGGTCCCTCTGCAGGATCTCATTGCTCTCCTTTTCTCCCCAGAGATAGCCATTTGTTATGAATTGAGTATTTAAATCATTCTATGCCATTTTTTTTTCTTTTAAAGATTTTTAAATTGACTTTTAAGAGAGAGTGGAAGGAAGTGGGAGAGGGGGAGAGAGAGACATCAATTGGCTTCCTGCTGTGTGCCCCCTACTGGGGATCAAGTCAGCAACCCTGACTCAGAATGGAACCGTCAAGCTTTTGATGCGAAGGACAACACCCAACTGAGTGACGCCAGCCAGGGTGCCATGCCAGTTTTTATATTTATGTTTATATTTCTATACAGAAATGTGATATTTTGCATATTTTTAAACATGTAAAAATGGTATCAGTGATACCAGTCTGAGGTTTTATTTGAATTCAACTATGTATTTTTTTGTTTAATGTGTGTAATTTTAGTATTGATTTTAAATTTATGTACAGATTTGATAACTATACCAGTATCTACTCATTATTCTGTTAGTGGGCATTTAGATTGTTGAAGAAGGCTGTTTTAAAAACTATTTTCAGTCTCTAAATGAATAATGATTATTTGTGTTTTAATGATGGAGTAATTGAGAGCAACTTCTTTTTGAAAGCAATATAGCCATAGTGGTTAAAATTATGGGTTCTGGAATCAGACTGTTTGTATTTGAACCTTTACTCTGTAATATTATTGATTAATTCTGTGTTCATTGGCAAGTTTCTTAATATCTCTCTCAAAGTTTCTTTCTCTGTAAAATAAGTATAGGTGCCTTGTAGGATTATTGCAAGGATTATATAAGATTAATTTATGCAAAGCATTAGCATAGTACCTGGCACACAGTAACTGCTCAAATATATTTTAGTTATTTAAATACTTTTTTTTTACAGAGAGGTACTACCGTATGTATTTTCTGTAACTTATTTTTACTTAGCAATAGGTCTCATTCTTTTAAGTTCTATGTTGTTTCATAGTATGTATGCTTTAATTTCAAGGTCAATGCTAATTAAAAACTTGGATAAAATACTTAACCCATCCTCAATTTTTATTGGTGGGAGGGGCTGGAACTATTCTAGTCCAAATTCTTTTTAATTTCATTTGGCTAAAATTTATACCTCCTCATGGTTTCTCCTGACAGTTCAGTTCCACCCCTTTGGATTCTACAGAGTAAGTCTTAAGCCAGGAAGAAACTGAATAGTCTCCTCTCCACACTAACGTTATCCAGTTTTTTCAGCTGTGCTGCACATGGCTTTCTATAGATATTTAGCCTTTGGAAAATGGTTGAAAGTAGTAACCCACAAATTTTACCTTTTTCCCCCCCCAGATTTGATTCAGGTAGCTTTTTTCACCTGTTCATTTGACCTGGCAATTAAAGGTGTTAAATCGCCTTGGTGTGATGTTTTTGACACAGATGATGCAAAGGTTAGTATTAATTTTGCAGTGTCTTTGCTTTTTTTGCATGATTTGTTATTGTTGTTGTTACTTGAAGTAGCTTCAACCTTTTGGTGCACCGGATGACGCCCAACAACTGAGCCACACTGGCCAGGGCTACAGTGTATAATTTTGAATTGCATAGTATTCCATAGTATGTGTATACTATGGTTTAGTTAACTCTCTACCTATTAATGATATTTAGGTATTTTCAGGAATAGTTTTGACTGCTGTAAGACATTGTATGTTCTCTCTTGTGTTCCTCTCTGAATATTACTTTATTAGAAATGGAATTAAATGGGCCTTAGAGATATATGTTTTTATGGATTTTGCCAATTTGCCCTTTGAATATCTACAACAATATCCATTCCTTTCAGCAGCACCAATTTTCCATATCCTTGGTCTACTTTTATTCCTTTTGTTTTTGCCAAACTGATACATGAACCAAAGTAACTCATTTTCTGTCTGGTTTCTACCTTCCTAAAATTCTTAAAAATTCCTGATCTACTGTTGGCATCTTTGTGTACTGTAATGAATATTCTTCCATGTATATCTTTTCTTTTTCTGTATGTCTTTGCTATTGTCTTAATATACTTTTAGAAGAAAGGGGATATGAGCACATACATGTCTTGAATAACGCACTGTACTGAACTGTTATGGATGCTGGAATACTGGCTGTACTAACTTGCTTTTGCATGCTGTCCTCTACATTTCCACAATTTAAATTTGTGTATCAGCATATATATCTATAGTCATGGATCTTTGGGTCCAATTAGTAAGTACTTGAAATGGCAAATGGAAATTAGGGAATCTGTTACATGAATAAAAATGTAATAACAATGATTTTTGAAATTTTTATTTTTAGGTATTAGAATATTTAAATGATCTGAAACAATACTGGAAAAGAGGATATGGGTATACCATTAATAGTCGTTCCAGCTGCATCCTGTTTCAGGATATCTTTCAGCAGTTGGACAAAGCAGTTGATCAGACAAAGAGGTAAAAACTTAAAAAAAAACTTTTTTTAATCCTTACCCTAGGACATGTTTATTGATTTTAGAGAGAGGGAAAGAGAGAGAAACATTGGTTGCCTCTTGCATGCGCCCCTGTTGTACCGAACCTGTCACCTTTCTGTGTCCAGCCAGCTGAGCCACACTGGTCAGGGCATGATGTATATTCTGAGTGCCCAGGTAAGCTTCTGAAAAATGTTTTTTTATGGGTGTTTTTATAAAATAGATTTTGCTTGTTTATTTAAAAATATTTTAATATAATAATTATACTTACAAAAGTATTTGATGGCTTATATAAGTAATAAAGCGTATAAACCCCCTGTTGAACCCAAGAACTACAACAATATTAATAATTTGCACTTTTTAGTTATTTATTCCTATCCCCTGTAATTACTGTTCTGATTTAGTGTGTATCATTTTTTTGCCTCTTTAATTTTTTTCTAATATTTTTTAATTGATTTTAGAGAGAGAGGAAGGGAGAGAGAGAGAAACATCAGTGAGAGAGAACCACCATCAATCGGCTGCCTCCTGCATGCCCCCTACTGGGCATGGAGCCCACAACCCAGTCATGTGCCCTGACCTGGAATTGAACTGGTGATGGGTTGATGCTCACCCACTAAGCCACACTGGCCAAGCTCTTTGCCTCTTTAAAAATAGTTTTTCTTATGAATGTATGTGTGCCCAAACAATAAGTTTAGTTTTGCTTAGAGTCATATGCTTATTGTCTTCCGGGACTCATATTTTTCTCTCCTCAACATTACATTTATAATATTCATCATGTTGTTGCATATACTAGTGTACAGTACTCAGTAATATGCAATATTTAGTAAATAAATACTACAGTTTATACCATCTTCTCATGTCAGTGGGCATTTGGGTAGTTTCTGGTTCTTACTATTACAAATTGTGTAATTATACATGGCTTCTGGTATAAATTACAAAATGTTTTACTTTTAAATGACAGGTTGTGTGTTTTTTTGTTTTTTTAAAATATATCTTTATTGATTTCAGAGAGAGGAAAGGAGAGGGAGAGAGAGATAGAAACATCAATGATGAGAGAGTCATTGATCAAGCCTGCAACTGGGCATGTGCCCTGACCGGGAATCGAGCCCTGATCGCCTGTATCCTAGGTCGACACTCAACCCCTGAGCCACACCCGGCCAGGCTAAATGACAGTTTCTTAATGAAAAGCCTTTTTTAACATTCATACTTTCCAAGGTTTTTAAAAAAACTTTTAATATTTTGAACATTTGATAGAATCTAAACCCCATTTTGACAAATGTGATTCCATGAAAGCTTATATACATTTACAGTTGGAGACAAAAGTCAAGCTGTAAAGCTTGAACCAGAAAGACTGAAGATGGTGTACCTGATTTGTGTTTGCAGTATTGAGTTTTATATACATGTGTGTGTGTGTGTGTAAAGAGAGAGGACTTTTTTGTGTGTCGATATGACTAGTTTATGGAATTTCCTTGGGTTTGATGGGAGTTAGGGAAGAGAACCAAATTATTTAGTTTTCTGCTACCACTTTTGGGGGGGAAATAGTCAAGGTAAGTTCTGTTTTTGAGATAGTCATTAACTTCTTTTCAGTTTAGTTTTATGAGTGGTTTAAAACTCTTAGACTTAATGAGATAACAGGTCTTTGTTTGTCCCATTGCTGGATGTGAAATGTGGCAAATTTAAAATTGTGTCAGAAAGGTTCTTAATTAACTTCTGCAAGGTTTGCACTTAAAATTTGATACCAGACTTAAAGCTTAAGTAAGAAGTTTATTACTGGTGCTTTAAAATAAGTGTATTTGTGTACGCTGAAAACTACAAGACATAACACAGAGAAATTAAAGATGACCCAAATAAATGCAGAGATATACTGTCATCATGGATTGGACAACTCAGATTGATCATCTTTTGACCAAGTACAATGTCTGTCTCCTTCCAGTATGTCTCTGTAGAACTTGAGAAGCTTATTCTAAAATTGATACAGAAATGCCAACGACCTAGAAGAGCTAAAGCAATTTTGAAAAAGAAGAACAAAAGGACTTATAAATATCTGACTTCAAAACCTATTATAAAACTGTAGCCATAGACAAATAGATCAGTGAACTAGAATAAAGTCAAGAAATAAACTCGTAAGGCAATTTTTGACAAAGATATCAATGTAAGTGCATTGGAGAAAAGGATATTCTTTTCAGCAAATGGTGCCGAAACAATTGGATATCTATATGTTAGAAAATGACCCTCGACCTTTTGGTGCATGGGACAGCGCTCAACCAACTTAGCCACATGGGTCAGGACTAGAATAATATTTTAATAGAGTATTTTTTCAGGTCTATCAGAACATTAACCTTTTTCTTCATCACTCTTAAAATCTTTTTTTGTGTTTAGATTTAGAGTTTATAAGTGAGTATGTTTATATATGTGTATATATCAGCAATATTTTGTCATTAATGTTGTCTGAGGAAATATTTTTCACTTAATTCTAGAGTTCCCAGGCTACTTTTCTCTATCTCCACCCTACATTGAGATTATACAAATACACAGGTTATCTTTTTATATTAACATTAAATCAGAGATTATTCTTCAGTATTTCTGAATATTTTTCAACAGAATTTTAACAACATGATTTTACTTCACAGAAAAATTGAAGATTGCAAATAGTGTTAATTAACAAGTATCAGCATTTTTGTTCAATATAACTTGACTCTTACTAGGTTCTTGACTTTTGTTTTCCTTCTTAAACCATCATTACAGTGATGGAATTAAAGTTGAAACCAGTATATTTGCTATTTAACCAGCTACTGTTATTTAAGCAGTTATAATTAGAAAAGCAGAATGAATTTAATAAAGAAATGAGATATATCTGGATTTTATTTTTCTGTTTCCTTCCTCATTATCTCTGTCAATATTTTTTTATCCTGCTTTTTCAAAGTAAGTTGTATATTCTGGAACATAATTGCTTGCCTCATGAGATCTGTTTTGTGAGGGATAGTCTCAGACACCAAAACTAATTGCTATAAATATTTGTTATTGTCATTAAGTAACTTTCATTATCCTTTTTCTACCTTTTCATTGACTCTCAAATCTCTGGTATTTTTAGATTTCACTGAATAAAGGTTTTCACTTTTTAAGGTTGTGTAGTTCCATATTTTAACATAAGATGGCAGCATTGAAATAAATTATAGAATAGCTATTTTGGTTAATTAGCCCATTATAAAGGGAGAGCTTTGTCTTTTAAAGTTCTTAGAAACGCATGCAGATTCTAAGCCCTCAGAACCTGTTCTTGCTTGTCTTTTTGCTACCTTTCTGCAGTCAGTGTCCCATGGAGATTTAACTCAGTGTACCAGGAGTCTTTTTTAGTGCTAGTTATTGAAAGATACTAGCTAAATCAGGTAAAAAGTAATATCAGTATAAAAGTAATGTAATGCAGATTCAAATGTCCAGCTGCCTTCTGAAAAGATACTTTTTGACTCTCAGTGGACCGTAGGTCTATGATACCTGGCCCTTGCTTATTTCAGTGCCTAAGAACAGATGTGTGATAGAGTTGGTGCTCAGTGTGTATTGAAGGAATACCCACAATCCTTTTTCTTCAGTATTCCCTGTTTTAGTTAGTGCCACCATCCTCCTCCCAGGCATCCAAGCCACAAACCTCTGCATTGTTTTTTACTCTCTCCCCCTCATCTTCTACATCTACTCATAATATTGTGATTTTTTTGTTTGGCTTCCAGTTTTATATCAATTCCTTCCACTCTCTTCCCTCCCCCCCCCCCACTAATATTGTTATTGGTAGAAGTGGGAGGGTCCACATCTCCATCTGTTGCTAGCGGGAACAGGTTTCTTTGCAGTATCCCCAAAACGAAGGAATTTTCTGAGACTCACACGGGAGGATGAGATATTGTAGAAAGCTCTATATCTGTGGAATAAAACCTGACTTTCCAAGGTTTTATTTTCCTCAGTCCCATCAAGGAAGAAATCCCATTTTGCCTTGAGCAGGGCTAAAATCAAAGCCAGTGTCCAGAATTTCTGTTCCCTTTTTGCATACTTCAGTCCAGCATCAGGCTAGCTTAGCTTGTGCTCCCAACTGCAGTCCATTAGTCCATTGTGTGTAGGGTCCACATGGCCATGGGCCATACAGGTGGATGCAAGGAAGCAGGTAAACGAGAGCCCCATGAGCCAATGCAAGGAAGCAGGTACTAGAGAGCCCCATGAGCTGAGAACCAAGAGCAACAAGAGAGAGAATTCCTTTGTTTAGGGGATTATGTCTTCCCAATTTTCATGGGCTTGCATTGGCTCCACCCATTTTGGCAAATCCATGATTCCCCAGGCTTGACTGACAGGCAGGTACCTTCCCTAGTTACCCCAACTTCACTGTGCATGCATCTGTCTCCCCTTTCATAGACCTCTTCCCCCAGTGATCTTCAGGGAATGGGCTGATGGTTCCCTGAGGAGTCCAAAGTTGAAGCTTCCTGGTGAAGCTGCCCAAATGGCTGTTATAATGTCTGGCCTCCCTTTGCTCCTTTCCTGTTATTAATAACTAGCTAGTTACAACAGTATCACTACCACCTCAATTTATACAAGCTAATATCTTCTTTCTCCTAGATTTTAGCACCTGCCTCCTAAGTGTTTTCCTGATTTCAGTGCTACTTCCATTTCACTCCAACACAGCTTATGCAGGCAATAAAGGGTATACAAAAGATGAATACGTTTGAATTGTTGTCTCAGGGAACTCATGTCTAGTTTGGAGGATATTTGGAAAACAGCACTTAAAAAAGTGCTGAAGGAGAATGAGTTGGAACTGTGGAGTTTGGTAAAGGCTTTATGGGAGGGAGGAGCCTTTGAGATTGATTACTGAAGACTTCTTTCACTAACCTCAGCATATCAACTCTTAATACTTGTTTTAATTTTTTTTAAAAACAGCTTTATTGGGTATAGTTGATTTAAACAGCACATATTTAAAGTATACAATTTGATGAGCTTTTATATATGTATATATCC